AAAAAAAAAAAAAAAAAAAAAAAATTTTATATATGTTACTGGGACTATTATGAAATAATGACTAAATTTAACAATAATAAAAAAAAAAAGAATGGTACAATGAAAATGAACTATTTAATTAAAGAGATAATAGAAATATACTGTGAAAGTGAAATAACATTCGAAGATAAAGTTTTTTAACAAAAATGAAAATATCAATACTTCTTCAAAGTATCTTTCAGAATCTATGTAGAAGTTTCACGACTTAGCAATATGATTTACCTTTTTTATATATTGACGAAGATTTTTGGTCCTTTGTGACGTACAAAAAGTATGTTTTTCGAAATAGCGCGCGAGTATAACCACTCGCTAAACAAACGTGATGACACAATCTATCTATGGTTTGGAATTTGTGAGTTTGACGCAATGCTGCGAGGACAAGCGATCGTCCCAACGTGGATCGTGTCTTTTGTCAGAGTGTCGCGGTTTCATCTTCCTGCCAGGTACATCATACATCGAACAATACTACGATCTTCCTCTTATGTTACCATCTCCCTCGAACAAACTCGACGATCCTGAAATAATTTCAAGCAAAAAGATTCGACGTTTCCACTGGAATCGTCTAGAAATGAATGATCAACGCGGTTCAATCAAATATGAAAATCAGGGACGACTTGAATGCATGATGATCGTTAACTATGAAGGAAGACGAGATGCAGGGGAAATCTGCAATCTGTTTTAAGTTGAACGTGACGCTCGAAACGTTGCATGGACGAATTTAATAAATTGCTTTATTTTATATTAATTTATCTTAAATTAATTGAATTAAAGCAATTCAAGTAGTTACTTATTCGTACAACTTATCCTGATTTATTTCGCAAGAAAAGTTTGTTGCTGCGTGAAAACTGAAACTCTATCAGGAATAGTCAACTCTAATCACTATATATCATATCAGAATTTACTTCCTTCAATAAATGCTCTACTAAATTTGTTCTTGAAGAAATTAAATAAAAAGAAATGTTACGAGAATGAATACAAAAATATATGAATCACGTTAGAAAATACTTCTTTCTATCTCACTGATTACTTATTCTTGTTATTTTTCATTCTACTATTTCGTTTAATAGCTAATAAAAATCTTCGTGGAAAAAAAAAATGGGATATAAATCTAACATGAAATAGGATAACCAATCTGTGCCTGTACATCAATAAGCTTTGTGCCTAAGTAAGTTTGCACAACTGAACCGTGACACATAACTTCATATAATGCTTCGAATCTCTGTGCGCGAGAAAGACAGACGATGTACGACGATTCGCTGACATACATATAAAATATTTGTACGAAAACAAATGAAATAGCCACTTGATGTATGAAGTGCATAA